GTCCGCTCATAGTAACCATTGAAATTGAGTTGTTTTTTACCGTTTAAATAGGTATTCACATGGCAACTTCACAAACTTCAAAATCTACACTTGGTCCAGCATAATTATTCAAATAGTTCATTCCTACTAGATGTTGTTGATGAAAACACGTTTATACTTTATAGGGCACATATTCAGGTGCAGCAAAACATCACTAAATCAATCAGTAATTTCTTTCAACAATTGATGGTTAACCCGCATTCATCGTCGATGTACAGCGTTTGGAATCATTCGAATCTATCCAGTTCCAAACTGCATTCAACTGCCCTGCCAATTCACTTATCTGATACACAACCGTTTCATCTTCGTGCATGAATCAACATAAAGTTTATGTGCACTGGAGAAGGTGCTCACCTTCTCCATCACGATTGCTCTAAACAGCTTGTGAATAATCATTATGCCTTATCTGTAATTTTCTTGCAATAATAAGTATGCCTATTTCCTTTAAGAAGTGCCAAAAAGACGTTTTCACCTTCGACATGAATCTACTTAAAAGGCGTTTAAAATCTTACAAGGAAACATTGGAAGTTAAAGCCTGATTGAATCCCAATGTCAGTTGTAAACAGAGTTTATTGCCACAGTTGTGAACCATTGAACATGAATAGCACCGATTATGACGACCAATTTGAAAAATGCAAAAACTGGAAGAATAAGTACTGTGCAGAAGACGGATTGAGCAAGAAATAAGAGCTGATGAAAATATAGGTGACAAACTGAAGCCGTAACCGGGTATTTAGGAGATCATACTTATAAGAAAGAAGTAGAATTTTTGAAAATTAATATACAATAATATATAATTCAAGGAGACTGGAAAACTTAGGTTACGGAACAACAATCTCGAAAAGAAGAGAACTTTTATCTACCTGCAAGCATTACTTTTGAGAATCAAAACCTTTCTTCAAGGCGCATAGCAGCTCCCCCGCAAAAAGAACGTGCAAAGAGTCTCCGCAATCGCAAGCCAGCTTTACCCAGCGCTTTTTGAGTCGGGACACGTAGTCCTTTGATGGAGCTGGTCGACATTTGCAGATAAAAATAAAGTCGGATGCAGAAAGTGCAGGATAGACGATGCAGTAATGGTCCCGTACATCTCAGAACGTTAATAGACATTTCCTGTCTTTCTTGGTCTCTTTTTGATCATTTATTAAAAAGAAGTTGAATTCCTTTATATATCAGATCAGAGAAAAATTCAATTTTGCTGATTCCCAGCAAAGCCCAGAAAGAGGACATATTCATCATGGATGCCCTAATTGCTATCTTCGTCTGTACCCTCACCTCAACTTTTCACGTTCTATAGAAGCCCCCGTTCTGGGTCGTATCATGGGTCTCCTTCTTGCTGCCATACGCGTGGAAGCTCTCTGGATTTTTAAATCTTCTTTCGCTGCTCGTCCAAAGAAGTGGAAGAGAGGCAGCAAAATGCCTAGCGTCTGTCCAGATAAGATGGGCGATAAACAAGTTTCCAGGTTTGGTAAAGCCGAAATAGGGATTGGAGCTGCGGATAAAATTCAGAATTGCCTTCTTGATCTTCCAGTTATCCTAGAGCTAGGGACTCAACAATGCAGGTGTCGGTGATGTTGGAGGCGACTTCCTACCTCTACCAGATGCCACGACTTCTGTACTGTGATCCTTCTGTCGTCAAAAAGGTCTCTAAGGAACTCATAAGTATAATCTTTGTGTTACCATGTTTCGCGCTCCAAAGTTTACCACATGCTCCAAGTTAAAAGCTAGGGTGAGCGGGTGGGCGCGCACGAGTCCAAAGACCGGAATGGGTGTGGCCGTGCGCGCCCTTTGATGACAATCTGTTGCGAAATTCCTAACCTCGCCCCTTACAATTCAAAGCACATGGTCATAGCATTACGAAACTGTTATGCCTCGCACAATACTTCAAGATCAGGTCAAACTTTAACAATTTCAAATTTAGACCATGTACATTGTATCCCTAGTACAGGTTATAGAAATTCGAAACATCTTCAGCCGAGAATCTACAGTCAAATAGCCGTTTTAAATCTCACATAAAACATTGGAATTTCTAAAGCGCCTGTGGGAAGCGAAAAGGAAATAATGCAAACGAAATCAAATTGAAGTAGAGGGCGAAGTCCCAAAGGCGAAAGAATTTGAGTGGCCTTTGACGGTTGGGCGGAAAAATAACAGTTTGAATTTGGGGAAAAGATAAGTTGAGCAAAAAAAA